CTATAGATGATCACTGACCCAAAAGCAAGCATGCAGCAAGTGAAGACAGAGCACCTACTTGCCAGCAGCTTGTTAAGGGCGACAATCAGCACTTCAGATTTACTCAAACACTCCCAACCTGAAGGACACTTTAGAAGCTTCAAGAGCGCTCAAAGCTTGCTGCACACAGGACTCTCATAGAAGCTGGATCATGTATGACCAAGACCTCAGAGGGACCATGTGCAGGTGTCCAGGTCCCTTTTACAGGCAAAGAGGAGGGGGGTGAGTGAGGTGGGGGGGGTGTAGGCCCTCACCTTTGCCGTACACATTGCCGAGTCGGCACCAGCTCATCACACAGCTGTATGGTCACTGATCTCCGGGCACACAGCAACTTCCATTTAAATATTCCTCAAGGGCCACAAAGGAGATCCGTCCACCAAATGCCTTCACACCCCCCAGATATTACCTTGTAAAGTTAGTAGTGGCATCACTGGACTACACAGAACCTGGGCAGGGCTGTAGGAGGAGCCAAGTAGGCCCCACCCACTACCACCATTTTATACTTTGTGCTCCAACATTAAATGGAATGAAGGGTCTCTATGTTGCCCCGGTGTCACCGCAGCTACTAGAACCCTCCCCCTCCTTAGGTAGCCGTTACCTGCACCGTGTTGCCACAGTCCTGGAGGCCATTCTGGAAGATGACCACTCTGTCAGTACTTTGGGGGTCTGGCTTGCAGCGTTGGGGTCCCTGGCTCAGATCAGAAGGTCTCACCAGCTTGCCATTCCCATAGAGATCCCTCTTGACGCTGACCACCATGATGTCCTCTCCACACTGGACGCTGATGGGGGAGCTCCTGCTCTGCAGCAGCTGCCGGAGCATTCCATCACGTCCACCGAGCTGAGATTCACCTCTGAGAGCCCCAAACCCAACCACAGGCTCATTACCTCCCCAGTAAAGCTCTGTGAAGCCCCGTCGAGCAGAACCCCGGCTAGGTACGGGCCCCTGGTGGCTCCTCCACCATTCTGACTGGCGGCCTTGTCTTACCAGGGCCCCATCTCCAGCAAGGCCAAACCCCGGCCAAAAAACCAGAGCCAGCAGCAGCCAACTACTCCTCACCCAGAGACCCATCCTGACTGCAAGAGGACCAGCACAATGAGGGAGGAACAGAGAACTGCCCTTTATACCCCTCCCCCTAATACCCCCAGCTGGGGCAAATCATCCCCACACCCACATGGCTGGCTCATTCAGCGTAGGATTCAGCAGAGAGATTTAACCGTTGGATGGCCGTCACCTCCTTCCAGGAGAATGTCCGGAGCCCGATCCAAATAACTGGAAGAATCAAATGAACACAACACAGCAGATCCACATGGAGTATGTTACACAACCAGCATGTATGAGCAAACCCTCCCATGACTGACCAACACTCCCATCATGGGCAATGAAGACAACTACTTCTGCATACAACCCCTGCAGCCCCACCATTCATTTGGGGGCCCATTTCACATCTTGGTGGTGTTTGTCCCACCTGCATTGGCCAAAAAATCAAAGTGTCTCATCAAGGTGGGTCAGCAAGGAGTGTTGGTGCGGGAAGTCAGCACAGGGATGGTGGGGGCCCCTCATAATGG